CCTGCCTTTTATAAACCTATGCTGGCTGGACCTGATTCCCACGTGCTATGTGATGGCACTCAAGACAATTTGCTCCAGAACCTTCCCTGGCACCGAGGTCACATTGACAGGTCTGTAGTTCCCCAGATTCTCCTTCCAACCCTTCTTGTAGATGGGTGTCACATTTGCCAACTTTCAGTCACCTGGGACCTCTTTGGTTAAGCAGGACTGATGGTAAATGATGGAAAGTGGCTCAATGAGCTCTTTCACCAGATCTCTCAGTACCCTCGAGTGAAGCCCCATAGACTTGTGTGTTTCTCATGGGTGTAACAGGTCGCTGACCATTTCCACTTGGATTATGGGGTCTTCATTCTACTCCCTGTCTCTGTCTTCCAGTTCAGGGGGCTGGGTACCTGGAGAACAGTTGGTCTTGGTTGTTGCTAGTTGAAGTTAAATCTAGATCTCATGATGATAGAATTAGCTTATGCTGTTAGGAAGTAAATAGGAATACAAGACCCATTAAGAAAAATGCGTCATTGCCATGACTAGAATAAAACTCTCCATACATTATTTTAGTTTTATAATTGATTGTAAATGCTTGGTCTCATTCCTATTGGCTTTTAGGCAATATTTTTGCTAACTTATAGGCTGTTACTTCTCTAGGGATATTGAAATGCATGTTGATCTGTTGAGATTATTCAGGTTAGTCAGATGTGAAGTATTTCCTTCTTTCCTTCCCTTTTTAACAAATTCACTGAAATAATTGTGGAATTGGTTGTTGACTCTCTGCAAACTCATTTGTATGTATGAAGTGCCATAATTTTGGTAAGCCAGTAGAGGGAGGTGATTGTCCCGCTCTACTCTGCACTGGTGCAACCTCACTTTGATTGTTGTGGCAGTTTTGGGCACCACAATATAAGAAAGATATGAAGCTTTTAGAGAGCATCCAAAGGAGGGCAACAAAGATGGTGAAGGGCCTTGAGGGGAAGTCGTATGAGGACTGGCTGAGGGCACTTGGTCTGTTCAGCTGGAGGAGACTGAGGGGAGACCTCATTGAAGTCTACAACTTCCTCATGAGAGGAAGAGGAGGGGTGTACACTGATCTCTGTGGGGACCAGTGACAGGACCCAAGGGAATGGCCTGAAGTTGTGTCAGGACAGGTTTAGGTTGGATATTAGAAAGAGGTTTTTCACCCAGAGCATGGTTGGGTACCGGAACCGGCTCCCCAGGGCAGTGGTCACAGCACCAAGCCTGCCAGAGTTCAAGTGTTTGGATGATACACTCAGGCACATGATATGACTCTTGGGGATGGTCCTGTGCAGGGCTAAGTGTTGGTCTTGATGATCCTTGTGTGTCCCTTCCAACTCAGCAGATTCCATGATTCTATGATTCTGTAATTCTTGTACTTAGTTGTGCTCCAGGAATTGTATTCTCCAATTTAGTACTCCAGCTAAAACTAGGTTGCTACTCACTCCTCCCCCCCCTCCATTTGGAAGAAGAAATGGCAAAGATCACTGGTTCAGATAAGAACAATTTACTGGAAACAGCAATGAGATAAGAAAATGAACAGTAACAGCAACAATATGAATAACAAAAGGCATAAGATGAAGAAATTATTTACAAGGAAAACCTGTGACAATACTGACTGGGTCTTCCCCACCATATTTTCTCCCAACCGGAGGGAATGCCCTTCTCCTTGGAAGTGAGAATCCCTTACTCCCCGGCAATGACATGAGGTGGTATAAGAATAACCTCCTAGCCATGCCCCCTCAACCACACCCCCCTATGGCTGTTGCAGAAAATTAACTCTGTCCTGGCTGGAACCGGGACGACTTCAAATGTGAATAGATGTCACTCTCCAGCACCTTATAAATTAAGAAAGCTTGTAGAGCCCTGCACTGGTTTTGGCTGGAATAGTTAATTTCCTTCATAGTAGCCAGTATAGGACTGTGTTTTGGATTTGTGCTGGAAACAGTGTTGATAATACAGGGATGCTTTGCCTATTGCTGAGCAGGGCTTGCTCAGAGCCAAGGCCTTTTCTGCTTCTTGTACCACCCCACCAATGAGTAGGCTGGGGGTGCACAAGAAGTTGGGAGGAGCCACAACTGGGACAACTGACCCCAATTGACCAAAGAGATATTCCAGACCATATGGTGTCATGCTCAGCAATAAAACTGTGGGGGAGGTTGGTGGGGGGGCTGCTTCCTTGGGCACTGGCTGGGCATTGGTTGTTGGGTGGAGAGCAATTGTTTCCTTTTGCATCACTTTTCTTTGTTGTTGTTTTGGGGTTTTTTTCATCTGTCTTTGTCTCTTTGTCATTTATTTTTTTCACTTTTTTATTTTCCTTTTTTTTTTTTAATTTCTTTTAAATTATTCAACTTTTTGATTCAACCCACAAGTTTTCTCGCTGTTACTTCTTTCTATTTCTTCCCCCCCTCCCCTTCCCACATCCCACCAGGAGGGGAAGTTTGCACATTACAATTCTGGGCTGCTTGGGATTGTGAAAAGGGTTAGAGATCGTGATCTGAATTTTAATAGGCCTCACTGCTATTGCCATGAGTATTTAATGCCAAACCTTGACAGATGTCAAGGTAGAACTCCTTGGAGAAAGCTAAGGGATATCATGCAGTCTCAGAAATGTAAGTACTCAAATGAAATCTTTCTTGCTAGAAACACTGATACTTTCTCACATCTGTGATGTTTTACAGTCTCAGCCTATGTTAGTAACTTATGGCTACTTGAGTTCTAATGTTTTTATTTCCCAGTCTCACATTCATGCATGGATCTAGCAACATTGTCTAGGGAAACAGTAGAGATTAAGTAACTGTCTATTTTTTAAAGTATCTTGAAGTGTAAAAGAATAGAAATTACTAGGATATGTGTTCTCAACTGCCTAGCACTGACTTATGAGAAAGGTTACAGTTTTACTTATAAAATATGTGCACTGATATGGGTCAGTAGTCCTCAATATCAGAGTTAAGTGTGCAGTCAGGTATAACAGGTCTCTAACCTTAGTGATCTCTAGGAAAGTTCAAAGCTAAGAATCCCTTCAATATTTTCTTTTCTTAAGAAAAAGTATTTATGATAACACATTTAAGAAATTAAATCTTGTTTGTTTGTCACAAATGTAAATGAATCTTTTACTATCAGTATACTAGAAAAGAAGGAAAATTTACTATTTGAACCTCTTAGAGTCTGACTTCCTTTGTGATATGTATTTTTGGTCTAAAAGAAGAAAAGCACAAATACAATGGACTGTCTCAACCAGCAGAAATGAATTTACATTTGCATGAACCACTGAAGATTTCATACTTTGTATTTATTTACTTCCTTAAGAAATTATTTTTTTATTTTAAATGTGCCCATCTGCATACATTCTTATGGTGGAAACTGAACTGATGAGAGTTTTGAGGAGAAAAAGTCATTGACTACTACTTGACAAAAAGGCAAAGTTCTGACCTTTTGAAGAACCCTTTGGCAATGTTCAGTGTACATAATATAGCCAATGTCATCTATCAGACAAAATGTTTGTGTTTAGTGTTTCTGGTGTTTGTGCCCCCAGTAGAAGATCGAAGCGTAAAAAGATATTCCAAAGGATAAAACATTCTGGATATTCTGATATTAACTGTATTCTTAGTGGTATAAGTGGTATTTTTGAGCTACTGTAATTGGCAAAATTACAAACATCTTCCAGAAACTAAAATATTTGTGAGATGAAAATAGTAGTCAGTTTGGAGAGGATGATACCAGAAAGAATACAGAAATACTGAACTGACAGATACTTGCATGGGCAGCTCCACTGACTGAGGAGTAATTTGGAAGTACATCTGCTTAGATGTTAGGGAAAGGTATCTGCCATTTTCTGGGGTTTATGGTCTGGAATTCTAAAGCAACAGCATTGTCAACAACTAACAAAGATTTACTCTGTGTTTAGCAAACATGATAGGAAAAAAAAAGAAACTTGGTGCAGTTGAAACCACTCACTGCTCTGTCTCATAGGGAGAATATATTTTTTTATTTTACCAGAACTTACATTCTGTCACCCTGTTACGACCCTCCCCAGAAAGCAGGGGGGTAACCCAGGTTCTTATTAACAAATCCTTTGGGGTGCATTAGAGTGAAACGACACTAAATAATCGGTGTTTGAAAACATATATCTGTAGGGTTTATTTTAGAACAATTTTGTTTCAAAGGTAAACAGGTATGTTGCCATTTTGGGTGTTATCATCTATATCTATCATCTATAGCAATATGGCATAAAGATAACCTTTAGGGAAAATGCATTAGGGAGAGAAAGGAAAGACAGGATAAGGGTAAGGGAGAGTAAGGGAAAGAAAAGATGAGAGTGGAAAGATGTATATAGTCATCGCCCACGGGGTCCAGTGATGAAACTTGGTTGCAGCTTCCATGTCTGTCAGTTGAAGTGGTGGTCTTGATCTGTTGGGGGTGGGGAAGGGAAGCCCACACACTCAAAGAAGTTATGAGTTATTATATCCATGGATAGTGTCACGGGCCATGCCACGAGCCTCCTGGGCCTGCGCAGAGTTTCTGTGAGGGGCATGGTAAAAGAGTTTTTCCCACCTTTCAGGATTGACGGGGGAAATGGGCATTGATGGGCCAACAGTCGCCTCTTCCCAGCCTGCAAAAGTCCCCTGGCAGTCCTAGAATGTGTAAATCATTAACCATTTCAGTCTCTGACACACCTTGGACATGTGAATCCTAAGATTAAAAATGAAGTTCAAGAGAAAGCTTATATATTGTAGCGCATTAATCTGATGAACCTGTTATCTTTATAAAATCTGAATTAACCTGATGCATTCAGTGATACCATTAAAATTTTCGACCTATATTATCATTTCTGTTAATGTATGGGTTTTATGCTAGAGCTACCACTATTTTATTTTAGGGTACATACTTTAAATTAACACTTTAGTAAAACTGCAAGAGAACCTGTTTTACTGAGGTCTCCTCCTTTTCATTTTCAACTGAGTATTTTTTTTTCTTATATTTTTCTCCTTCAGAATATTGTTACAGATCTAAGTTACACTGTTCATTCCCCAGTGCTGGATAAGTGGGAAGGAATTAAGGAGCTGAAAGCAACCCTTTGGGCCTTGGTTAATAATAGATTTACAATCTTTTTCCAGCTGTTTGAGTTCTGTTATGACTCGATTCTGAAATGACTAAACAAAATCCTGTAAAATCATTATTTAGGGTTTTTATCTAAGTCAGTGGAAAGTACCTTAACTGGACATTCACATTAAAATTATTCACTGCTCCTATTTTGTTCAGAGTTTTTTAATAGTTGTTTTCTCTTTCTTTTTTTTTTTTTTTTTTTTTGTGGGAGATGGCATGTTTGAGTTTTGTTGTCGTTGTTGTTTTAAACCAAATAAAAAGAACAGATTGCCACATGTAGCAACACTATTACTATGTGTAGTGGGTTGACCTTGGCCGGATGCCAGGTATCCACTAAAGCCACTCTGTCACTCTCCCTCTGCAACTGGACAGAGGAGAGAGAAAAAGCAACTAAGGATTCATGAGTTGAGATAACAGCTGGGAGAGGTCACTTACTGATTACCTTCACGGGCAAAACAGACTCAAAGTGGGGATAGTACTTAAATTTATTACTAACAGGATAAAAGCAAAAGAGTGAGAAATAAAACAATATTAAAAACACCTTCCCCCCACCCCTCCTTCCTTCCATGTTCTCCCTCCTCCACCCCCAGTGGTGCGGGGGGATGGTTAATGAGCGTTACAGTCAGTTGTTTCTGTCGCTGCTCAGGGAGAGGACTCCTTACCCTGCTCCTGTGGGGTCCCTCCCACAGGAGACAGTCCTTGATGGACCTCTCCAGTGTGAGTCCATCCCTCAGGCAGCAGTTCTTCCCAAACTGCTGTCCCGTGGGTCACTTCTCCATGGGGTGCAGTCTTTCATGAATGAGCTGTACCAAGGTGGGTCCCCCACAGGGGCCACAAGTCCTACCCAGGAAAAACCTGCTCCAGTGTGGGCTTCCCTCTCCACGGGCTGCAGGTCTCCAGCAGGACCCTGCTCCATCTTGGGCCTCCCACAGGGTCACAGCCTCCTTCATGCATCCACCTGCTCCAGCATGGGCTCCTCTATGGGCTGCAGGTGGGTCTCTCCTCCCCTCCTTCTGCACTGACCTTGGTGTCTACCTTGTTCCCATGTTCTCACTCTGCTCTTCTCTGGCTGGAATTCTTTCTGTGCAGTACCTTCTGTTCTTAAATATGTTATCACAGAGGCATTACTATTACTCCTGATTGGCTTGGTCTTGGCCAGCGGCAGGAAGTCCATCCTGCAACCAACTGGCATTGGCCCCACTGGACAGGGGAAGCTTCTAGCAACTTCTAACAGAAGCCACCCCTGTAGCCCCCCCACTACCAAAACCCAGCCACAGAAACCCACTACACTATGGAACTAGCGATTGCTACTTGCTGTGGTCTATTTTTAAGATATTTACTATGGTGTTCCAGAATTCAATTTCTCCGGAAGAAAGTTGGCTGCCACTGTTGATGTGTGTGAATATATATGGTCATGACATTCCTGGTACTTGGGATAATATGTGGAAAACGTAGTGTCCTTGTCTATCCAAGCTATATTTCTAAAGTTGCTTTGCCACCTCAACTGTTAGTCTGCCTCTTTCTTGTGTTCCCCAAAGTTTAATTTGGAACATCTGTCTAAGATGACTATTATTGGAAGATATTGTAGGTATGTAACAAAATGTCTGTTTAAGAAGAATGTAAAATGAGTAATTCAAGATCATATTGTTGGCTGTAGTAGAATTGGTAAAATGAGGAATATGTAATAGTTAACTGCGACCAGTTTTAGGTATTATATGTAGAGTCCTGAGTCCTTTTTTGGATCTGCATGAATATGAAATGCCAAAAAGGGGTGCTGAAATCTCTCATTATTTGACCAACTGCTTTATTCCAGGGCAATATTGGATCATCAAATTGGGGTCTTAACTTGCTTCAAGAGGACAATGTAATTCCCGATATAATGGCACTTGCACAACATTGTGGGATTCTCTCCATTAGAGGGTATGTGTATCTGATTTACACATAAAATTTACAGATGGTAGTTTTAGCAGGTTTTCAAATAGCCTTACCTAATTTATGTGAATATAGTTTTGCCACTTACATGGAAATCAGTTATTAAAGCTAATTGATCAATCTCAGAATTGTATAGGAGGTCTAAAAGAACAGGCAGTAAGTAAATGAAAACTATGAAAAAGATATATAGTACTTTATTCCTTTTTAAAAAAACAATTAAAATATTTGCTACTTATCTCTTTGTTATCAATTTATTATTGTCATTTTTATTCAGTATCTTTTGAATCTTTAAAAGAAAACATAAACAGATGGTCTTTTGCCTAATGCTGCTGCATTAGTGTTTGTCTTTTAAAAAAAGGTGCTTTTCTACTTTATGTATCAGGCTCCTGTGGTAATTATTTTTAATAGTATATTGTTCTCAAGTATTTTAGTGCATTTCTTAAGCTTCCATTGATTTACAAATAAAAAATAGGAACAAAAAGCTATTTGATGATTTTGCGAAGTTTCTACTGAGTTTTTTTGAAACTGTTTCCCTTCAAGAGAGAAATAAGTTTAGTTAGATGTTATTATTGTTACTCTTTTTTTCTATATATGCATTAAATACAGAACCTGTGTCTACACGCTTGGTCTAATAGCCAAAACTAAACAAGGATGTGACATTTTGAAGCATCATAACTGGGATGCAGTGAGACACAGTCATAGACAACCTTGGCCAGTGGTCCCTGATGACATGGAGCAGCTTTGCACCGAACTTTCTTCTATACCCAGTACTCTTAGTTTGAACTCTGAGTCCACCAGTTCTAGGCATAACAGTGAAAGTGAATCTACACCTTCAAGTAAGTAACAGTAAAAAAAAACAATCAACCAAAAAAAAAAAGAAAACCCCACCCCAAACAAACAAGCAACACCAACAAAAGAAACCTACCACAAACCAACATTTTGGTGTTCTTACTGGCTTTTTGGCAGGATGAGGTTCAGGCAAATAGTTTAAAGGTGTTATTGCAAGAAAGAAAAGTACAAACCAGGGGATAGTTATATGCATTCAGAGAGATGTAAATCAAGTGAGAGGGAAGAGAAGACTGTCTTAAATTTATATTTGGTGTAGAAATAAGAAATTTTAACATTAGGGTAAGTTACTAGTTTTTTATGTTAAGTTATGGCAGCTTGTATTAATAGCCTGCAGAAACCTCCATACTTTAGGTATAAAGATACATTTACTTATTTGTCCTCAAAGGAATAAAGGAATATTTAAAATATATATTCTGTGTATATACACACACACATGCATATATATATATACAGTATTGTTGTATTTAAATTATTGTATATTTTGTGTATCTAATACATTTTAGCCTTACTGCTGATATTTGGAATTTAAATCCAGAAATATACCGTATTTACATGTCATTAAAGGAGTGTATCAGTTGTAATCCTAGTAACTGAATATTTGCACTGAAATAAGATAGTGTGACTTTTCTTTTGAAGCAATGAGACCTTCAGTACAGGTACTCCTGAAGATACTTAATTTGCAGTACTAAGTTCTGCAGAAAAAAATGTTTAAAATTATGGTAAAACACGTAGTCTCCCATTGTAGCTTTCATAGAATTGCTTACTTTTTTGTAACATAGTTCATACACTTTGAAGAAATGTTAATTTTCAGTGACAAAGTCTCATGTAATTTCAGGTATGTTCATCATGGAGAATGACCGTTTTGGTAGTACTTTCACTAGTATGTTTTTCCTAGGTATTACTGAAGATGCAGAACAAATATTTTATGACAGACCTGGACCTTCAAAGGACAAAGACCATAGTCCCTTTCCTTTTTTTTCTTCTAGCAGACTTGTGAAAAATTGTATTCTGAACTCTCTTACTCTACCTAATAAAAAATATAGAAGTAGCAGTGATCCGAAAGGAGGAAAGCTGACATCTGACAGTAAATCAGACCTGAGGCGACATCGTACTGTAACAGAACCTCCCAGTAGCATAGGATTTCCTGTTGGGGAAGAATTCAACCATGGTTTTAGAGTTCCTAAAATCCGGACTTTAGGATTAGAAACTTCTTTTGTTGAAAGTAAACACATGGAAGATACTGATAGTACCCCAAGTGTTGGAGAAAATGATCTGAAGCTGACAAAAGGTCTTAAAGTTCACCAGGAAAGCACAAACAGAGAAAGGCTAATAGGAGATGGTACTACACAAACACATTTTAAGAGTCATAGCTTAAGTTTTAATACAGATAGCACAACAAGTGGCATAAACTCAATGAGCTCTAGTCCTTCGAGGGAGACTGTAGGTGTGGACACTACAAACATAGATACTAACTGTGGAAGTTTGAGTACTGTGGTAAGCACAAAAACAGTTAAACCAAGTCACTGTTCAACACCACAGTCTAACCACCTGCATCTCTCAAAATCCCACTCTGTTTCCCTGGTACTGCCAGGGTCTTCTCATACACTTCCTCAAAGTGCCCAGTCCCTTAAGGCTCCTTCTCTTGCTACAATAAAAAGTCTTGCTGACTATAAGTTTAGCTACACAAGTTCTCGAGATGCCTTTGGCTATACTACTTTGAAACGCTTACAACAGCAGAGGATGCATTCTTCAATGTCTCACTCAGAAACCCTGGCATCTCCAGCAAAGGATGTGCTGTTTACTGACACTATTACCATGAAGTCTGGCAGCCTGGATTCTCAGTTGACCCCAAGACGGTAAGAGATTATGTGTTTGTTTCTTACTTGAAAGCTATAAGAGCAATTAAATAAGAAAAGTATATTTCTAATATTTTTTTCTAACTTCATCTAAAAGTGACAGTTGTTGCAGGATGATTCATAACTTTACTAAGGAGTTCCAATATTAGGAAGAGAATAGGCTAATGAGAAGTCTGAACTTTGTAAATGCTATCAGAGAGGTCCAACTTTCATAGCTGTCCTCAGTCCCTTCAATTCTGTTAGTGATAAAGGAGTATGTTTCCTTCTATTCCATTTGCTTCCTGTTTAACTTTTTTAAAAATATTTAAATACAATTACAGTGTATTTTGGACATTTTCTCAATGTCGGTTGGTGAGGTTTTAGGACAGACTCCCGCCAATATGCTATATTACTTTCCATTGTGGCACTGAGGCCAGTGGTGAGATACTGGTACCACTGATGTGAATGTGAGTTTGGCTTCTTAGCTACAGCAGAACAAAGATTTTACTCATAGGATTTATTTTTAGACTGCAATGTCACCTCTTTATTTTTGAGTAATATTAACTCCTCTGAAGACTATTTGGATAGTTATATATCTAGTTCATGACATTGGCACTCTTCCCAGCAGCTACAGACAGTGCTTAACAATTTTCTCTTAAAAGTTCTTCTACTTTCCAAACTTTTCCTTACAAATCAGTTTTTAGCTAGTGGATTGGATTTTCAGATGAGTATTGAAAGTTTTGAAAGCACTGAAAGTTCCACCTGAACGTGAGGAAGAACTTCTTTCCTGTGCAGTGACTGCACTGGAACAGATTGCCCCGACAGGGTATGGACTCTCCCTCACTGGAGATATTCCAGAACCATCTGGACAGAATCTTGTGCCACATGCTCTGGGATGACCCTGCCTGAGCAGGGAGGTGGAACTTTCATCCTGAGACTCAGCATGCAGTCTAATACTAACAGTATTCTTGATGCTTAGCTGTTCATGATCTCTCTTATCAGTGGTTAGGTGCAAGGATTTGAGCTGACCTGTTTAACTTTGAACTGAAATGGCTGGAGTGTGCATATCTTTGAGAAGACTAAAAAATTGCAGATGTACATATTGCAAAAGATTATCAGATTGTCTTGGTTACTGATGTAATTAATTGGAAAGATTAAAATTTAACTAATATATGTATTTTTCTTATTGGTTACAGCTGATTATCTCCACTGAATAATTGTGGTCCTTTAAATTTCAGAGTATGTTATTAATTCCAGATAAATATTGTCTTTAACTACTGTTTAAATAAATTGGAAAGAAATATTCTGTGCTTTTTTGTCTTCTAAGGCAGTCTGTCTTCTGTCGGTTTTCAGAAAATTTTCTTTGATTCATGCTTCATTCACAAATTCAGGTGTTCATAGCAAGTACCAACTGTAAATTGACTTCATTGATGTTTCTAGTTGTTCCATTCTTTCAAAAGGTTAAAAAGCTTGGTTTTTTTCACACATTATTTTGTGAGGCTAAATTTTTCACCTGTCTTTAAAGACCAACCAAAAATGTTAAGGTGCATGTCTCAAATCCTTATCATGGCTCTCACCCCATCACTCTCAGACATGATTTCATGAAAACTTATCATTGTTTATCACTACTAATGATATATCTGTTAACTTTTCCAAGAGAAACAGGGACAAATGTTTAGGATTAATATATATATATATTTATATTGAGAGTAATTATAGAATAATTACATAATAATGTCCTAATAGTCAGACCGTAATAATTTATTTTTACCTGGATATAAATCTGTTAAGATGTCAAGAATGAGAAGACATTTTAATTGCCCATCTAAACCAAAAAAATGATAGAAAATTATTTTCAGGGCAAAAAGTTCAGCTCAAGAAATAAAATGTTCACTCTACTTACCTTCCAATGTATACTAATATGCAGTAATATAATAAAAACTTACTGTTCCTAAGGAGTGTCTTTTTTATTAGGAAGTAAATTCTTCCATGCTTGGGTGACCCAGTGAGTGGTGACTCTTTCAGAATACAGGAAAAAAATGTTCCTTGTTCGCACTCTGGTACCTAACAGGCTCAAGCTCTGTTAGCACTTTAAAACCCTAAATCTTTACTGACTATGTCTGGGCTGTAAATCTTTGAAGCCTGGTAAGTTGGAGAAAATTTGTGTTTTTACAGAGTTGGTAACCCCTTAAGCAGAAGTTCCATCCTGCGATCTTTCAAGTCCCTGTCCCAGGACTTTAAAAAGAAAAATCACAAATTTCTATTCAAGGAACTGCCAAACCATGCAGTGCAACATGAAACAGAACAAAAAAAATGAGCGTATAGCTGTAATTGGACAGAGTAATAAGCTGTAGGTTCTACAGTGGGAAGATGAGGATAGTTTTTGTCTCAGCAGTCCTTACTTGTAATGTGCCAGAATGAGAGATTTATCAAGATTGTGATTTATTATTTCAATGTTATAGGTTCACAAAAGCTTTAAGTTATGCTTCATTAGATAAAGAAGATTTAAGTCCTATTAACCAAAACACACTTCAGCGTTCCTCCTCTGTTTGCTCCATGGTTTCTAATGCTACCTATGGTAGCTCTGATGATTACATAGGCCTTGCTCTCCCAGTGGATATCAATGAAATATTTCAGGTATGTATGTGATAACTTAATGGATTCATTTGCAGCTTCATGCTGAAAAGTAGTCAACTGTTGCATTATCATCAGAATAGATTATATCTACAGAAATGAGGAAAACAGAATGTGGTATTTCCAAGGAATGCATTTTGGAGAACAAGAGTTACTTTTTAACCCTGTTTACAGAAAATCACTAGTCTGTTTTGTATTATTAGGCAAATAATGACACAGACTAGGTTAGAAATATGTTAAACAGTGGTAGCATAAATATGCTGTCATAAGATTTTTAGTTGACAGCTAGCTTTTATACTAAAATTAGCATAGTCTGTGGACATTTGCTAATATTTCTTTAGCCAACTAATTGATATGTTCATTGATCAATCACAAATGATGTGCATAATCACACAATAAACTTCCTGCTACCATGATTTCTGCTACCATGATCTTGATTTAATATTATTTTATTTGCATATCTATCATCATAGCATTAAATTATATTATTTGCTTACCCTCAAAGATATATTTTTAAAGTTAAAACAGATTATCTTAAGTGTCTTAGCAATTGCCTTCCTCTCTCTACTTTGTTAGATGGGAATGTGTTTTAACTAACTGATGCATCAAAATGCTTAATATTCTCTTACCTAATTATCAGAAGTAGAACATGGCCTATGTCAAAGGTAAAGCAGTGGTTTCCTTATCTTTGATTTACTTAGTCTTTGCCTTTCAAACATAAATTAATTTCTTACTTATCTCAAAAAATTACTAAAGCTAGAACAAAGGCAACATTTTCCATCATAGCTTCTATTTCCCCTTTCTGAAATGAATATTTTATTTCTATCTCATCCACTGTCTTTATGGCATGTTTATTTTGCCTCACGTCTTTTCTCTCAACTCTTTTTGTAGAGTTGAGACACATCTTGACTCTGCAAGATATTACAGACAACATATTACAGGCAACATGTTAGATGTCCTGGCTGATTTTGCTCTACTTTCTTGAGGTCTCCAGTGTTGTAGTGATTGTGGGCAGATCAGTAATAGCCACTTGTGGGTCACTGGTTTCCTTGCAGCCTGTCACCATTGTTTTAACATTTACTGGCTGTTCATAAGCCTTGCTTAATAAATGTTCATCCACAAATGTATGGTTTTTTCCTTGGTTTTTCTTTACTACTCAGGAGCCCATTCTTAATTTGTTCTTCCAATTATATCTTTTTCCTGAAGTAAAAAATAGACAACATTTTATTTGCTCATAAAAAGTATTTATTTTTTCTTTGTATATAATTATCACCTGTGCTAACTTTAACTTTCAATTGAATATCCCAGGTGAAGGAAACTCCATATTTCCAAAAGAAAACCACACCTCCCTTTGACGACCATGGAGCTAGGGTCTTTGCACCTGATGCAGAAGGTATCGGTTATGTTTGTATTCTATACCTTTCTACTATTTGTGTGTACATTGGGTGGGGTGTCAGGTTTTATCTGTTGCTTTTTCTTTACAGAAAAGGTTATGTTTAGCTGTTAATTTTTGAAAGTTGTGTTCTGGATTCAGGATAGCAGGCTATTAATTCCCTGGTTTATGTAGTTCAAGGTAATGTGGTATTGCTTCAAAGCTTGATCCAGCTCTAATAAACTAAGAAGGAAAATCTACATATCTTTGATTATAATATGAACCAATGTTAATTAAAGACTGGTAGTGATACTGCATTGAAAAAAGTAACAAAATTTAAGGGAAGATAAAATATGTATGACACATATATATTTAGCTGTTATATTTTGACTCCCCTTTGATCACATGTGAATTTATAGCAACCAATAAAGGTGTTAGATGTGTATTTCAGAAAGTAAATTTTGTTTTTCTGTGATATTTCTGTGACAGTTGGTCAGCAGAGGTGATGGAACATGGTAGAAGAAAATTGCAAGTGCTCTGTAATGCCTGGCTTGTTCTGCAATGCACTTCTTTTTACTCCAGAATAGTCCGAAATCTGTAGGGCATCAATATGTATTTTTTCAGTAGGACAACTGAAAAAGAAACATTGATGCTGTTTGTAAAGTAGTATAGGATAGATGTTGTCTCGCTTCTTAGTTAACTGGAACTTTATTACAAGCACTTTGAACATCCAAATAGATACATTTTACTGATTTTTTTTCTTTTGTGTTGTTAATGTAATATATAAAGATTACTTCCCTGAAAGTGTGTTTCTATAGTTTACTAAGTTTCAGTGTAAAATAATGCCTGTTCAAAATTGTATTTGTTGGTATTTTTCACCCAGGGAAGAGCCTGCCACTAAAGTGTCTTCGACTTGTTTCTGCATTGTTGCATCTTGTTTTATCATATTACAGGCACTAAGTTGTAGGTTTTTTTAATTGTGTTTCTGTTTTCATTGGTGCATATGTCACATCTGGTATATACTTGCACTAATCTTGTTTGAAACTATGAAAAATCATAACATATTAACATTTCCAGTATTACTAATCTTGATATAATGTCAGGATTTACCACATATCTTCTTACAAGTATGTGTGTTTAGAGCTTGAATTCTGTCCTTTGTAATGTTTTGTTATATATGATAAGTCGATACTAAAATGTGATGTTTATTTCCCAAATGCTAATAAATCATGGGAGCTTAGCTGTTCAAAACCAGTTTCTAGATCTTCATGCACATATCCCTCATGGCTTAAAAGGGGAAATTTAATTGAAATAGTGATTTATTAGATGTTGGTTTGTGTGGTTTTGTTTTTTCTGATGTCTAATTGCTTAATCTATAGGTCTTCCATCAGGTACAAGTGACATTGTCAAGAGTCCTTTTCAGATGCTTTGACAGCAGATCAGTCTCACAGAAATAATGAATACCAGCCATTCAGATGCCTCTCAGTTTTTAGAAAATACAGATGATACGGGGCTACAGGAACACACAAATGAGAACTGCCTTTACTGTGTCTGCATTCAAATACTGGGTTAACAACCTAACAACAAAGTGAGCTCTTTATATAGTCATACAGGTTAGTGTTCCTTGTGGGTAAGTGTGATAAAACTGAATGAAAATATTGAATTTTTTTTATTTTTAAAGTTGATGAATCTGTAAAGGTTTCTTTGTTTTTTTTGTTTGGGATTAAATGTTGACCTTGAAATTAATTCTCCTTAATAAGATCACTATGTAACCAGTAGTATTTCTATGGTCTCTTTCTAGTGGTGTTAGTTAATAGTTAAATATTTCTAAAAGATAATAAAAATATAAACCTCAAAACAATGTCCTGAGGTTTAAGGTCAAACTAATGAAAAATCTGACTTCAAAGCAAGTCTGTACCATAAAACAAAGCAAAGGAAATTTGATTGAGGAGTCTGTTGAAGTTAAGCTGTAACTTCTGGGATTTAGTCTTCTTTCTTCATTTTTTGAGATGCAGATCAGATTCAGAATGATTTTTTTACTAACCTCCTTTGCAGAGCTTGCAGGTACATGCCTTTTTACAATGTCTACAATGAAAAGATAATCCTGTAATACAAATTCCAATTTCTGCTAAGTAGGAGTCCTTATCATTTTACAAGTGCTATTGTTGCCTAAAAGATCCAGGGAAAAAAAAGACTCCAGGCCAAATTAGGTAAGGAGATAAGAGAGCAGAAGTTTTAATGAGCCTACAGGCTCCAGGAATACAAAACCCATGCACGTGCTTTTTGGCTCAGGTGTTACAATTTTCTAATGATGTCCATCCAATCCTTGTTCATCCACCCCCCGACTCTGCCCCATTCCGCCCCTCGGCACACCCCCTCGGGAATTGAGTCTGGGAGTGTTTGGGACCCCTCTTTCATCATCTTCCTCTTCATCAAAGCATGTGCAGCCCCATGTTTACATTCCTGGGGCAGGCATTAGGGTAGAAGACTAAACAACTAACAGAAGATGATACACAAAATGTGAGGAATGGCTGAGAGAGCTGAGTTTGAGTTCAAGTTCAGTATTGAGAAGAGATAGCAAACAAAATTCTAATTGTAGTCTTCAATTAGCATGAGGGGATTACAGGTGAGGCAGAACCAGGCTCTTGTCAGAAGCACAAAGCTGAAGGATGGAAGACCATGGACATGTGCTATAGGAATGGAAATTCCAGTTAAACATAAAGGGAAAAACTTTTCAGTATAACTTAATCTCATTTTGAAGTGAGCGCTTCTTTGAGCAAGGGGTTGAACTAGGTGATCTCCAGGAGTCCATTCAGGCCTCTGTTTTTCTGTGGTTCTGTTAACTGCATAACAATTAAAAGCTTGGATTTTAGATTCATCTCTTTACATCCAAAATGTCAAAGGCTATGGAGAGTGAAACCTCCCAGAAGAATCTTACTTGTCAGATCTTCCTGTTGATGAAGTCAGAGCCCTTTCTGCAAGACCTGTGACAGTTGTATGAGCAAAAAGCTTGTGCATATGCAAGAGCATCTTTATTATGCTATCAATATATCCATGCTCTGTTTTACATAAGACCTCTATATGAGATTACATTTTTTAGACTTCTGCCAGTGCTTAAGAGTTGATTATTTTCACTCACGTATAAGATTAAAAAAAAATAAAATATATATTTTTAGACATTTTGAGTATGATCTGTCCAAAATCAAACATCTAGTTTCCAACTGGTTTATATGCTAATAGTTGCCGTACATAGTGCATCAGTGTCTTGCATACTTAACACTGTTAAAAAATAAGGTAAACATTTGAAGTGAGGAAAAGTGTGAATAACAAAGATGCAACATCTCATTTCTCTGAGATTTTTCAGACATGCCATATACTGACTGGTGTGGGCAGACCATACACAACCACTTAGATGTGCATTCCTCCAAATTTTCTGGAATTTCAGACTGTAGTGATGCAGTATCCCATGGTTCAGCTAACAGCACCAAGAGTACAGAGCTTGTACTAGGTAAGTTTGAAAGCCTTATGATTATTACAGACTATTATTCTTGAAGAAATTTTTTGGTATTGTGGAAAAATAATATTTTATTTATATATTCTGCAGCAAAGTAATGCTCATTATTTAAAAAAAAAACACCCTCTTTATATGCCCAATCATTATTCAGGAAGGTGGTTGTATTATCAATGACTGGCAGATGGCACACTTTCAAACTGTTCCACTTTAGCTTTATAGGATTTTTGCAGGTAATGTAAATGCAGCTCTGTATCCAACATTTCAATCAAGTTGATTGCCTTTTTCCCCCCAATGGTGTTAGTTTAAAAAAAGGTCTTTTAAAAAATGACTGAATTTCTGTAAGGAGAAAGACATTTTTTTTTGCTCATGTTTTTGAATTATTATTTCTTATGAAGTAGCTGGTTGCTAACTTTGCCAGTATCTGATAAAAACAGAGCAGGTAATCCCCCAGTTTGCAACATGATTTAGCGATAGAGACAGCACTGTAATTGTCACACAGCATTTATGAAATGCTAGTTTACCTTTTTTTTTCCAATATTTCCATGTTAAAATTCATGAAATTAATATTTTTGGTTTTGGTTTTTTAACTTTAATGGGAATGTTTGTTGGTAGTTCAGAATATGTACATAAATATATATCTCTGTGTGTGTATGTAATGCTAAAACAGACTTATGTGGCCTAGATTAGCACAATCAAAGACTATCCTGTTTAAACTCCATACTGTTGAATTTTTCTTTTCAGGAGTAAAATCAATCCCAGAGAATACACCAGTGTGCAGTATACTTCTGCGGAAAGAAGTCTTACGTTTAGTAATCAATTTGAGAAGTTCAGTAGGAACTAAGGGCCATGAAACTGGACTCCTGACATAAGTTAAATACATCTCAGATGTCTTAGCAACATTTAGTTGTATGTATTTTCTAAGATCTTTGAGATAGTGATTCACCTTATTTCTGATTTCTGAAAAAAAATCATCAAGCAGGTATTATTATGGATTATTGGGGATGATTGAACATAATGTAAAAGCTAAGCAAAGATTTTTCCTTTTAATATGTTTATTCTGTCTTTAATTTCTTACTCTTCCCCATTATTTTTTAAATCAGTAATTCAACTGTAGTGATGTTTCATTATGTACCCAGTATATCATGTGTCTTTAAAAAATAAATAATTATTTTTTCTTGTTTGTGCCAATTAATATGTATCAGATAACCAGAATAACAATCTGAAAGTAACTTCTTGAGAAACATAATTTTTTTTTAAGCAAGAGTACAACTACTGGAATTAATTTATAGAAACTCGTTAAGATATAGGAATATAAATCCAGGGACCACACATTATAATACAAAATGTAGGTTTCTGGGCTAGTGTTGTTGGAAACTGACATATGACTGCTAAAAAACATGCAGAAATGCTCGTTTTAGTTTTAAAAATGCTTGCAGGTAATTAAGTTAGCTTTTCATATTTTTTATTACTGCTGTACATGTGTATGCCTATTCTTTCATATACTGTTCTCTTTCTTCATCCATTATTTTAAGACTAGGTGATCTCGGAGTTTTTGTACAACTTTCAAATTATATGTTCTATCTCTTTAATATGGATTTCTTCCAGTTTGGTATAAAATAATGCTGTCTGTTCCGATTTTCTTGCTTAATCAGATCCAGAATGTATAATGCCTATTACTGAAGAATTCTACTTTGTTAATGATGACAATCAAAATTTAATTTTAGCAGTTTTTTAAAAATATGATGAAAATCTGATCAAGACTTTTAAAATTTTGTTTTTCCTGTTCATCAGAATTAAGGAGAAGTATCCCCAAGCATTTGATGACATATGCCTTTACTCTGAGGTGTCCTTCTTGTTAGCAAATTGTACATTTCGACTTTCATCTCGAAGGTTCATTCAGGAGTTATTTCAAGATGTACAGTTCTTACAAGTAAGTTGAGAGTTCAGATGCATTGAATGCACCAAAATGTGGCAGCTGGGTGCAGGTTTCTTGTTCTGAATGCTTTCAGATATTTCTTAAAGGAAACCATTTTATGATGTCTTTCTAGTAAAATCTCTGATTATATTAATACTTCATCTATCTTTTTCTTTTAGATGCATGAAGAAGCAGAGGCTATTTTAGCAACACCAACAAAACAACCAGTAATTGATACATCAACTGAGACCTGACCTCTGTCTTTTGCACTGCATTGCATATAGACTTTCTGAAATCCTCAGACAACCTCCAATTGTCTGGATAAAAAGCTTCAGAGCATCATTTTTTAAACCGTTCCAGAAGCTACTGGTACCTGAAGACTGAACTGAAAATTAACCTATTACTGCCTGAGTCTTTTGTGCCCTTTGGGAAGTTATTAAACATTACCATAGTTTTAATAATAGTAATTACCAGTATAGGCAAGAGCAGAGCACTGAACACCTCTGCAAACTTTCATTTAATTTTCTACCATAAATTAAAAATTTTAAAAAAAGGACAAGATGCATTGACTTCCAATTCTGTTCCAGAGAAGCAGAATGATGCCTTGCTTTTTAAACCCTTGATGCTAGGAATCAGAGAGATAAGGATGCATTCCATTGCCAGCAATGGGGAGCCGTGCTGTAATCATGGACACTGGGGGATTAATGTTTGCCGTCCTCTGTTGATTTTTATACTGTTTATAACACTGCTTGGGGGGTTGTAACTTCAAACAGAAAGAAATGCCTCTGTGAATCTAAGGTTTCCTATTAGTTATTTTAATATTACTATATTTGTAATTAATTTTATTAGCAGTCTCTCCAATTTCATTACACTTATGTACATGTATCTTATCAGAACCAGTTAAGGATTTTCACCACAGTTTGATTTAAAAATAACAAATTATTTAAACTTAAAATGCTGAAATCAAATTGTTTCTATATTCATGCTCATATAGTATGAATGTTGGTCTTACTCTTAACTAAAAACCTTTAAAAAGCATGATTTTACCAGATAAATTAATATTGTGTAAACTAAACTTAGACATTTAATCATTGCTGCTTTTGTGAGAAGATATAATGAGTGTTTTCCAAGTTCCATGGAAACAACCTTCTAAAAACCCAAAGGCTTGATTTGAATTCTCAATGGATTAGTGATCAAGTATCAGATAATACTAATTATAGTGAAAAGCCTTAAGTAGCAAATTTTGAAGCAACAGTAATTATAATTTTATATTGATATTTGAGACTTGTTGCAAAAGTTACATGATACAGTGACTGATAATGACTAAAATAGTTGTGTCTATCATGTTACTAGTGATGTTTCTAAATTAATGACTGCAAGCTTAAAAAAAGAAGTAAGAATCCCCATCACTTTTATCATTGATCTAAAGACTCAGAAGCCTTTATATTAAAATAATATAAATGTATGCAAATATATATACATAGCATGACCGCCTTTGTTAGAATGCCAGTAATAGAAGGGATTACCCTTTGATTTACATATAGGTGAATAGATCTCTAAGTTGCTGCTCATAGTCAAATTTAGTTCCTGAGACTATCTTTTCATGAGTTCCCACTGAAAGGAGCAAAAAGAAGGCGATTCAGCTTTCATGGTGAGTGAAACAAATAATATATCTGTGTCAAGACATGTTTGAAATGCTCTGAAAACATACCACACCAGTAACTATTTGACTTCTGGTCATAAGAAAGAAATGCTTCTGTAAAACCAAAATGACAATCACAATTGATTTTTTGTGGGGTTTTTTCCTTTTTTTTTGTATGGTGTGTACAGTTCATGTTAATGGGCATTAAAAGCCTCCTAAAGCATAGTCTTATCAAAGGGATGCGTTTTTAATAAAATGTACTTAAACTTCTTGTAGTTGTTCTGGTCTCATATTTATCTCTCAGCACTAGAAATGGGTTGGAATTTTATTTATATTTGTAAGTTACTAATTCACTAGAACAACCTGAAGCTTTCCAAATAAACTTTTTTTGTTAAAAATAGATTTTACATTAATACTTTGTAAGATGTCTTATAAAAATAGTTTCATAGTTTGTACACTATTCCTATTTAAAAAATTTAGAGTATTGATTCTGAGGATTAATCACTTTCCATTATGTGATGTTTGCACATTAGGTATTAGCATTTTGACAATAGATGTGAAAGTTGAATTATAAACAGTGACAGAAATAAACAGTTTTCAGTTTTGAAATTATTCAATAGTTAATGTAAGATAGATGTTGTAGCAGGATGCTCTGCCCTGATAAGGGTTATCTGTTTTGACCTAGAATCTGGCCAGAAAATCCAAACAGTCCAATCTATCTGTGGTGAGTCACTGGTGGTGCCATGGTTCTACTTTTAGTGTTGAATTATGCTAAAACCAGCCTGGTTCACCAAACTGCAAACACACATCCTACTTTTTGAAGCAAGATTTGACAGATAAGCTGCTGGCCAGCCTGGAGAAATGTGACTGGCTATCACTTTATAACTATAAAAGCCCAGTCCAATTTCCATATGGCAGATTCTTCCACATACTTTCTTGAAGCATGTGGAGCTTCTCCCATGAAGCAGGGATGCCTTTTCATGGTTACTCCCCAGGGGTTAAGTAAAAGAGAGATCTGCCCATGACCATCGTAGGGTGAGTTACATCAATCTCTACTTAATGATTGTTTCCTTTTGTTAGCTTTGATACAATTCCTTTAATATAATTGCTTTGATATAGTGCACTATACTATTTTATGCTATACTCTACTGATAATTTTTAGCTTTTACACTGTGTAGTTAATAATTCTTTTTAAGATCTTTTGTCTGTTCATTTGTCATAATAAAGAATTAATTTTATAAAAATATATCTGATTTTCCATCATTAAAACCTGTGGGACAAAAGTAGTTCAATGACACCTCTATAATTCCTTAAATTTAAACCATTGACATAATCTGAGGCTAAGATTGGATCCAGCTGCATACAGGCTCCTCTCTGAGAAGGAGTGCAGAAAGCAAGGGGGTCCTTTCTGCACCTAGTAGCTCAACAAGAGGGCTTCTCTAATAAACTTTGTCTAAACTTTCCACTCCCCCATGACAAGTTGGCATAGTTGGCAGGATAGCAAACGATTTTGAGAAACAGACTAAAGGCTTAACAAAATATTTATGGAGGTACAGGACACACATTAACACTGATAATCCTTGGCCAGTGGATAATTGGTATGAGTGGGAAAAGATACAAGAGAAATAGATAAGAAAAGGGGATCACTGAAGGATAAAAAAGGAAAAGGTATTATTTGTCATGCCCTAGGATTATGCTTAAAGGCTGTATGGCAATGGAGAGAAAAAATTATAAAAGTAACTAATAATCTGAGAGATGAAATAAAAGAAAGAAAACACGTAAAACTGTTTCTACAGTATCAATACAACAGATTAAAACAGCAGTTAAAAGAATCCAAGGAAAAAACATAAACCTTGGAAGAAAAATTAGAATTGGCATTATTAAAATCCCCCCGGATGTTAGGAAAATTCAAAAATTTATAGTATTACCTGAGGACTGGGATGGTGATATTTGGAAAAGTCCTGATGAAATTACTGGTGAGAGAGAATGGGACTCTGATGAAACAGGTAATTGTCGGGGTTGACAGCAGGTCTGTCAGCACCCTGGCACTTATCAATGAAGCAATTGATGTTGACCAGATCAAAGTATATCCCTGAGAAGGCTGCAGAGGAATGTAAACAACTACTCCAATGCTGGACGGAACAAACATAATGCAGCCGAGACCTAAGGTCACCAATCAAAATGTATATAATATCACCAATGACAGTGTGCAGTGTCCTAAGGTCACCAATGACAGTAAGCACAGTGTCTTCTGTATTACCAATGACAGTAAGCACAGTGTGCTATACTAGAGACTTTTAACCAATTGTGTTGTATGCAAAGAGTATAAAAGAAACACTTGAGAGCAATAAACAGCTTCCTGATCACCTTACACCTGGACTACGTCTGATATATGTGTCGTTTTGGTCGTTCCGACTTTAACAGCTACAGGTAATTTTGTGAAACATCAGAAAGAGATAGATAAAGAGGAGCTAACTTCTCATCACATTGCCAAGCAAACCGTTTCCTTCTTCAAGATGATGAAATTTCATTAGTGCAAAATCTCCTCAGGATAAGACCAAGGGAGCTGCCTCTGCCAGAGCCTAGGTGGGAACTCCCACCAGACCAAAGTGTCTCACCCTACTATCAAGAAGGCACTACTGGCTACAATCACCCCCCTTTACATACACTCCTTCATTTACTCCTTGGGCTAAATTACTGCAGCCAAGCCCCAGTAACAGCAGGTCAGCTGTAGGAAACTATGCCTTGTTAGAGCTTGTGGTGGTTTGAAAAAATTCCCAAAAGTTAATTTCAAAAGCTTTTCCACAATTTGTTCTAATGTGAGAGAGAGAAGTTTTCAGACAGGCACAACTCAGTATGGGGGAAGGGAATTATATTACAATTTATTACTAACACAATAAATACTATAATACATATATATGTTGAGAGAATCTTAGATGATGCAGGACATAACATACTGCTTCAGGCCTGCTTGCACAATCTGACCTGCGTGCCAGATGGTGGGGACCTGTGTTCTTCAGCAGCAGATGTGTGTCCTTGAGCAGCAGATATCAGAAAGCTGCATAGAGGAAAACAAGGAAGGAGGATGTTATCCAGGGTGTGAGAAACCTGGAGATGAGGGGAGGGCCTGATAAAGGGTAGAGCGTGTGCCTTGGGAGGAGAGGGAATAAAGATATAGCGAGAGCGTGTGAACCCAGCAGGACCCTGGATAATGTGTGTATTTTTTGGAATAAAGTGGAGCATTGACTGTACCTCCATGAGGATGTGTCTTTGACTCTGGAACTCCTTTTTGCATCTTCTCGTTTTATATATACATATATATAACAATTTTAACTCTCTCTCCTATGGTGAAACAATATATATACATAGACCGTCTCTCCTTTCCTTCAAAAAAAGTCCAGAAAGAAAGAAGAAGAAGTCTTTTCACTTTCAGGCCACAGCTCTTCCAAATTAATTTCTGCGGCACTTGGAAGTGTCTCTTATCTTTAAGGCAGTAGTTTCGATTTGTCGTAGCTAGAATTCTTCTTTCTTCTGCCCCCACTTCTCGCTCCTTAGTCACCTTGTCCAATGGTATTACTGGGGGTTTTGGGGGAACACCTGTGTCACCACGTC